TCAGGGAAATGCAAATTAAAACAATAATGAGATAACTACCTTACCCCTGTCAGAATGGGCATTGCTAACATGACAGCAAACAATAGATGTTGGGACAGATGTAATGAAAAGAAAACGCTTCTGCACTATTGGTGGGAATATGAGCTGGTACAAACTCTGGCAAACAGTATGGAGATTCCTCCAAGAAGTAAAAGTAGATGTGCCATTTGATCCAGAAATCCTACTACCGGTTATTTATCTATTCCAAGGAAAAGAAGTTATTATATCAAAGACATCTGCACCTGAATGTTTATTATAGCACACCAAAGATAAAGAAAATCTGGTGCATGTATATCATGGAGTACTACCAGGCCATAGAAAGGAATGCAATAATGTCTTTCACAGCAACTTGGATGGAACTGGAAACCATTATCCTAATTGAAGTATCTCAGGAACGTTAAAACACACACCACATATCATCATTTATAAGTGAGATCTAAGTGACAGATATATATGGCCATAAAGTGGTGTAACAATTGTCGACTAAGAAGGGGAGAGGGTGGAGGAGTGAAAGATAAAAGGTTACCCTCTGGGTACAGTGTACCTCATTCTAGTGATGGGTACACAAAAGCCCTGACTTCAGCATTATATAATACATTTACATCGCAAAAATCTATTGAAGTCATAATATAACAACAACAACAAAGCCAAATTCTCTTTGATTTTTATAAGGTTTCAGAAGTCAAAATATAGTATATTTAAAAAAACCCAAAAGTTAAAATATAATACAGAAAATGTCTTTCATGTGCTTTACACAAATAATGCTACTGTAACATTTTTAGTCATTGAAGTTCTGTGATGCTGAGTCAACTGAGATTTTGTGTGAAATTGTCATAGCAAAACTTAGACTCACTGAGACCTTTCAGTGAGCATACCTTCTTTCTCTACCACTATCCTTTGCCCACACCAACTTTGATGGCTTGTTTACTTCCTATTCCTTTGCATGAAGCCATCTGTAGCCCCCATATTAGTGTAAACAATTTGTCCAACATCACTGATTCTTCAGAGCAGCCTTGTCAAGGATAAATGTGGACTGGGAAATTGGGGAGGAGCTGGATTTGCAATCACATATGCTCCTGAATCAGCTCCGCCTGCTATGTCTTCTCTCTCCATCCTTCCTGCCAGACCAACATGAGCACCACACACTGCATGTGCCCCTGTCACTGTTGTGGCACAAGAAAATGGCTGAGAGCCATCTCTCTACCTCTTCAAACTCTTCACTGTTGACTCACTTTAATTCTCTGTCTTCAAGAAACACAATACCTCCCCTGCCCATCAAGACAACCTTAATTCCCAAAGTTCCCAAAACAGTAGGGTATTTACATCCCAAGGCCCAATGATAATAAAATGCTTTTAAATAAATGAGAATCCTACTTCCCTAGCACCTTTCCTAGCCCATCACTGTTTCATTCAAAAGGTGAAATGTCAATGTTATCCATGTACACACTCCACTAACAAATGGCTTCCCCCATCTGTCAACAATGCTATCCCTTAAAGTCCCATTTTTATCTTTGCCAAATCTTGCATCACCTCTCATTACTTTGGTGCCCCAGTTGAGAGATACTGGGCACCTCAACCCCCTAGATCCTCAAATTCCCTATTTCGGTATCTCAGCCCCCATCAGAGAGCAGCCTCACTGTTGTCCAGAGCCAGCCCATAGCAAAAATCTTTAACTCCCTTATTCAACTCACTCCCCATGACCCACTGGCCTTTCTCTTTTCCTACTCTGATTCCAAGATCTCTTCTTCAGCTTCCTGAGAACTCCAGACATTTGATTTCCTTTTTTCTCCAAATCTTTCAGTTTCACATCACTTTGTATTTGTCTCTGACTTGTGTGTTGCAAGGTGACCAACCAATAAAGTGATAGATCTGAAAAGCTAGTCCAGAGAAATAAATTTAGAAAGTTAAAAAGGCAAACAAGAACATGATAGATGTGCTCAGCTTCTGAACCAATTATTATGCAGGAAGAGGAAACAAAGAACGTTGCTCTACACAGCCCCCTCCAGAGCAGGCCTTAAACACAGCTGAGAGATTTATCCACACAAACTGTTTATGTCTTTTGTAAAGTCAAGCAGAATCAATATTGTATGTTAAGTATCTTTTCCACTTTCCCAAAGATGAGTTTGTTTGCTTGTTTCCTTTGATCACTGGGCCGTCCTTCACACCTGGAGTGGTACCTGGCCTGTAGAGGGCAATGAATAGAGGCATGCTAATGAATGGGTGGATAGATAAGTGAGTAGACTTTGTAAAAAAGAATAAAATGAGTGATTGTGCCAGGAAAAGTGCATATATTACCACTGCCTCTTAATACAGCAGCTGAAGTATCTAGCCATTTCTGTCCCTTCATGAACAGTCATGGGAATTCCACCCCGGGGGAGTCTGTGGCCTATGTGATGCATATCACAGCAGAAGATGAATTAGAAGAGCTGCTCCCAGGGCAGAATTGAGATCATCAGATGACAAGCAGAGTGAAAGAAGTTTAATTTGATATAAAGGGTAGCCTTCTGACCATGAAATAAATAAATATCTGTATTTTATATGGAAATAAGATGTATCTATATAAAATAAAAAAATAAAAAAAATATATCTATGTAAAATATAGATATGAAATATATATAAGTATATATTATATATATACATGCACACATATATATTTTATAGAGAGACAAAAGTTGAACTAGCCAGCTCAGAATCACATACATTAATTTTCATAATTAGATGCTGGGTCTTGAGAATGTAGAGAGACTCTCCCCACCCCACCCTCAATCATTTTCCTTTTTGGAAATTGTCCTAAAAGCTACAGAGGAGACAGAATGTTGGTAAGAGGAGTCAGCCACTGACCCCCAAACTCCTGGGCGGGATCAGCCTTGTCCAGATCTGCCCTGAAATTATTCTTTCCTTCCATACTCACATTTTGTCTTATCTGTAATCTTAATAGGACTTATTTAAAGAAAATGTAAGAAATGGGACAGAGTCAAAATAACTTTTATGAGGTCAGAAGAAGGTGGGATACAGGACATTCTCCAGTTTGACTAGAGGAGTTTTGGAGAGAGCCACATGGGAAAGTCTCCCTCAGCAGGCAGTTTGGACGTGTTTGGAAGAGAAAAGTGTCAAGGATGACATCGTCCAATGATGGGAGAGATAGCAAATTGTCCTTTATACACTTAGCAAAGAAGCATTAGGGCGGACTGGTGGCAAAGCCTCTCATAAGTGGAAGAGATCTTAAATTCACCCACTGCCTGTTTTATAAATGACCATATTCAGACATCAAAAGCCTAAATCTAAGTCTCAAGTTTACCTGAGCACTATGTAGAGCTCGGGTCATCTCATGTATTTGTTGAATTATTTTACTCTGTTTTTGTACACAGTGCTGTTTTTATTCACAGACTGTTGAATACGTTTCTAGGTATGTCTTAGATGTTTGAATTATCTAGTCTGTCTTAGATAATCTCATCAAAATATTGAAAGTAGTGATGTTATTATTATAACATAAGTACTTTAGATGTTTGACCTACCCTCTTAGAAATACATGATTCCCATAACTTTTATATTCTGAATATATTGAAGAAAAAATTTTCTTTATATAAAAATAGGAAAAGAAAAACTAACTGAAACACTAGTGACCACATATGGCAGTCCTCAAGTGTGGAGTGATATGGTTAGACTAAGCAATCACAGGTGGGTTCACTGCCATGGTTCACACCTGTTCTCTGAGGCTGTCACTAAAATATTCATTCTTTGAAATTGACTGAATATCCATGTGTGCAGGATATTTTGTTGATGATTTGTGTGTTTACCTCCTTTAATGTCCATGTCAAGACTATGAGGTGTTATCCCCATATTCCAAATGAGGCAGCTCAGGCCCCCAGGATGTAAGCCCTGCCCATGGCCACACACAGCCTGGTCCAAGATTGCAGGTGTATCTGATGCTGGTCCCTGATGCTGGTCCTTGATGCTGGTCCTTCCATCTTGTCATGTTTGGGGTAATTGTATTTTTCACTTGTGAATAATAATAAGACTCCTCTGCCATGACAAAGCGGGAGAACGCTGGAATTTGAGCATGAAAGGACTCTCCCCTCCATGCTGCCCTCTCCATCCTCTTTCCTCTTGCGCTCACTGCCTGTTTTCCTGGCTCTTCACTTGTCTTTCTGATCTGCTTCCGTCCCTCCCAGTTTGTCTATCGGTCTCTTTCTCTCCCACTCTCTTCCTCATTTTCCCTGAATCACTTTTCTTTTTATGCACCATGGTCACCACATGCTTCCCAAGCAGGCAGGATCCTGCCTCTCTGCTCAGTCCCTTCTGCGTCCCTGTTTCCGGCTTCAGGCTCATCTCTGCATGTTAAGTGTGGCTTGAACTTTTCCCCTCTTTCAAAAGTGTTGTTTCTTCCAAATGCTCATAAGCACTTTTAACCACTTGCAGTATGTTTTGATTTGCCAGCTGTTTCTTCCTGGCACTCATAGAAGGTTCCAGCCATCTGTTTGCCAAGTAGAAAAAGAGAATGTAAAAATATGCTTTTTCCTCCAGTAACACACATACTCTAACCTCTATGTCTAACCTTGCCCTCAATCCAGCCCCTGTGGGATGCAGAGCGGACCTATACTTATTCTCCTTGAAATGCCACCATGTGATAGCAACCAGTTCTCACACAAAGATAATAAATTAAAAAGAAGCCACACTTCTGTGGACATGCTATGGGGGGACTTACAGAGAAACTGGGAAGGAACTGTATGGCTGTTACCCTGCTTGGTAAGAACAGAGAGGGGGAAGTTATATTCTTGACAGGAGTCTGGCCTGTGGTCTCTGGCTTCTGATTTAGAACATGGGGCAGGGTCAGGGGAGGTTTATATGATTTCTTAGCTCTTTGGAGGCCTCAGAGGGCTATAAAGGTGGGCCATGTACCTTGAAAGCTTTGTCCTAAGTCATAAATTCGTCTGTACTTAATCTTTTTTATTATCACTTACCTTCATCTACAAAAATAGAGACAACAAGGTTTATGTCTAACTTTTGCTATGTGAATACAGGGAGAAAAATTTTTTTGGGTAATATTTGGCTGATGATGTAAGAGATTCCATTAAGTCTCTGAGCAAGTTTCCTAACTCGGAAACAATGTTCAGAGACTATTTTAACATCGTGAAATAGTCAAGTGCACTTGACACAGACGTCTGTGCCCGTCTGTCAGTTTTCTGAAATGCAGGGGCAGGGCTCTTCTCGTGGGTGCTCAAACATCAGCACAGAGAATGGATATGCTGCAAAATATGGCACCTCCATTGCTGCTGCTCTTGTCTGGATCTGTGCTGTCCTCGGACTTGGGCAGGCAAGGCTGGGTGCCACCACCAGGGTGCTCAGAAGCTGCCTCAAGGAGACACCTGGTCCCGCCTTTCTAGGGCACACTCGGGAACCTCCAGTGCTTGTGCAGTGTGATGGGTGTGAACATCACATTCCAGGAGGTGAAGGGTAAGGATGGAGCCTAGTTCCCAGGGCTGCTGTGTCCATGTGTGACTGCACCCCCTGCCAGGAAACAGGAGAGGCGGCAATGAGAAGGTAAAGGTCATACACGTTGCTGGGGACGGTAGCCGTGGGCCAGGCCACTGTCATCCTCAAATGTCCAGTTTCCTAACTAAATCTGGGTTTCCTGGCTTCCCTTTAACCCATTCTCTATATTGAAGCCAGGGGGATCTTTTAAAGGGAAAATCAGATCAAGTCGTTCGCAGCTTAGAAGCCCCCTCTGGGTCCTTTTCAGTGAGAAGGAAGCCTACCCTCCTTTCCTCGTGCTCGGCCGGCCTGGCTGTGTCCTGCATCCGCCGCTGCTGGTCCCTGTGACTCAGCCGCCCTGTCCTGCTGCTGCCCACTGTGGCGCCAGTCCCACTGCCTTCCATCACTACACCTGTAGCAGTCGCTCTGCTCCCGCCTGGTCTCTATGAAGCTTTTGATCCCAATCCTTTAAGAAAATCTTCCCACCTGCCTTCCTTGCAGGCCTTCATCAGTCCCTCTTCCTACCATAATCTGGATTTTGGAAAATCACTTTGAAAAAATGTTATAGGACATCATCTATTTTTATGTTTGAACATTTATCTCCATCTCCCCCCTCGGTCATCCTCACCGCCTGTGGCAGTGTCTGGCTCACCCTGGGCATTTCCTGAGTGACTGACAGTGACAGTTGTGAAAGACGCTGGATGTGAGAAGCCTGTAATTAGGAGTTCAAGGGCACGGCCTTGCATTTGAGACTTATAGCACAGCATGCATGCTTGTCAAAGGGCAGAGGTCTGCTTCCTGCTCCAGGGGAGACTTGCCCCCTCCCCTTCGCCCTTCCTCCCACAATTTGCACCCTCGAGTAGCATGACCATTGCAATCTAGGGAGAAGGCTGTGGTATGAAGGTGAGAACCACATGGCCAGGGGCTCAGAAACTCCACAGTGGGTTCCCCTCCCACCCAGAGAAACAGCTGGTCCTGGGGGAGACAGACCCATGAAGAGGAAAACTACATGAGTGGAGCCCACTGGCCACACAGAGTGACCAGAGCAGCCATGGGTGGGCTATGAAGAGAAATGTGGCAGGCACAGCAGAGGGAGGTGGTGTTGCCCTGTTGTGTGGGAGTTGGAGCTTCTCCCCAGCTACCCTCTTCTGGTCCAGTCCCTGTGGCAGCATCTACAAGTTTAGGTCTTAGGAGGTATTCCCATAGCCTATGTAATTGTTCTGGAAATTTGAAATAATATCTGGAGATGAGATTCTGGGGGAAATTTGCAGGTCATGGTGCTCAGAGGTGGACAATGAGATGTGGAGGGCTGATGTGCATGGCTGCCGTGCTTAATCCTGGTGCAAATGCAGCCTGAGACAAGCTGACCACCTCTATGAGTAGCTGGGCCTCAGGGAGTCCTGGCATGGTCTGTTCTGGATAAGACTAACCAGTGACCACATGTAGGTGATGGACTTGGTGAGTCCAGCCTCCATCTAACTCCTACTGCATAAAGGAAAGAAAGACTCAAGCTGCCTACTAATCACACACTGCTGACTCTGTGTTGGAAAGTTTTCAGTGTCTCTTTAGACATTTGAATGTTCCCTAAAAACTGGTCATAATTTTAGGGTTTTCCAAGACTCACAAGGAAAGACTTGTCCAAGCCACAAAATTAAAGTAACCAGCTATGAACTAGGAATCCTCATCCTTGAGGATGAAAGGGTGGTCCGCATCGGTGGTGTTTAGGGTTGTGAGGTGAGGATATCAGGCCTTCATAGCATTCACGTGCATAGACTCAAAATCCACTGTTGCTTCTGATAGATTGTTGCTAAATTGTTCATATCCTGGCTCAGTTTCTGAGTCACTGTTTTCTTCTAATCTGTGTAAGCCAACACCATCCTCTATGGATTTGAGAAAATGAATACTGCCATTCTAACATCCTTCCAGAGGATTATATGGAAGAATAAAATTGAAGCATGATGTGAAAAGTGGGTAGACTTTCCTCCAGTGCAGGCTTTGCTGGGATTTTCAGAGTAGCTAAATCTATTCTGAAAGAAAGACCCAATATGTAAGTCCCACTTCAAGGAAGATAGGATGGCCAGCTTATCTCAATGAAAGGAATGTTTGGATTGATTTTGTGGAAACGTAGAATAGTCTCACTTTCTAATGCCGCAACAGCATCACAAGGACGTGCTATGGTTTGAATGTATTTCTCAAACATCATTTTTGGAAACTTAATCCTCAATGGGACAGTGTTGAGAAGTGGCATTTTTAAGAGATGAGTAAGTCATGGATGGACTCATGTTGTTGTGTTGAGAGTAGATTTGTTTTCTTGAGAGTGGGTTTGTGTCAAAGGCAGGTTAGTTTCCCTCTTGCTTTCTTTCATACCCCTCACCCCCACCTTCTGCCATGGGAGGATACAGCAAGAAGGCCGTGCCAGACACCAGCATTGTGATAGTGAACTTCCTAGCTTCCATAACTATAAATGATAATTCATTCTTCTTTATAAACTACTCAGTCCGTGGTATCTGTTATAGCAGCACAAAACAGACAAGGCAGGTATAAGATATCAACTTTAACCACTTAAGAAAAGCCCTGTGGTATTTAGAGAAGACTTGTATTTCAGTTTAGGGATCAATGAGAAGGTCCACTTGACAGCTGAGCCTGGAACATAATGAGATTCAGCAAATAACAGTTTCTTCTCCTCATACTTATCTTCTTGTAACTATAAGGAGAAAATTGAATTCATGCATGTAAAACTAAAAATACAAAAGAAGTTTCCACCCAGATCATCCCTATACATGTTACTGATTTATTTATTTCATTGCAACAGAATTATTTTTATCTCAGCTTAATTTGAATGACAAGAGTTGGAATAATTGCTCTGTCATCAGTAATTCATTTTCATTCTTATGTGCTTAAAATTGCAGCTAAAATAGAGCAGTTAGACATACTGAAACCATGTTTTATAAGATTAATTTCACATATTCTAAAATTCACCAGGCGAAATCATGCACCACTTAATTCCTGCAGCACTTGAGTGCTATTTAAGGGTAAAAGAGGAAAATAAGTCAGAGAGCATTACCCTTGATTTCAAAGACATCTGAAAAAGCTCTGAGTGTGCTACTTTTTTTAAGGCAGCAAACGACAGAAGTTGCCTGGGAGGGATCAGGGCATTGAGAAGGAAGGGTCCAGACTGAGACTCTGAGAAAACACTTCAGGTGAACCTATTTTCTCCATCTCCACAAAATAGTCCAAAACTGATAACATGGCATTCTTTCCACCTAAAATATTGATGGTTAATCACTTGAGATGATCATTGACCATCATTCTTGACTTATTTCTCTCTTATCAAAACAAATATCTATAATCTTTGCAGAAATTTTACACTGACAATACGTTCTGTAATGACATACTTTATGTTTGTGGCATTAATGATATGAAAGCAAAAGACAGGATTGAATTAATACCTGTAACAAATCAGTTTACTGTGATGATTAATAGGGTACCTGAGACTCAAAAATCCAAAGCATAACATTTTGAAATCATTTTATTCTTCATGAAAAAGATACCTGTCATATCCTGGTATGTTTATTATTAGAATAATCAGTTAATTATCTAGGTGAACTTAAGGCCACATTTCTTCTGCTGGCACCTAATTATGATATGTATTGTGAATATGGGAGTTTCCATTCTTATTGGAAATAAGCATTGATGCCAACTAAGAGGCTGAAGGTTGTAGACCTCTGGGACTCTGATAGGGTGGTAGTGAACAGGAAGACTCTTTACTGTTTTAGAATTCTTATTTTGAATTTTCCATGTCTCAACTCTGGCCAGGTGTGCTGTGGGGTAGGAATTGGGGTCTGTGGTTTTTCTGAGTGGGGAGAAGTTTCTTAGTACTGATATTGTTTCGAAGGAGAGGGGCATGTTGACCACAGGTTGGCTTTAGTGGCTGGGTTCTCTACCCTCAAGGGATTCCTATTGCCTGCATCAGGATGGGCCCTCCCCATTGTCAACCACCTCATCTGAGAGGATAGCATTCATATCCATCTCTGTCTGACATGACTTATGGGGTTTGCAATGGGGGTAGGGAGCATGAGGCCCTTTCTCCATCATTTAAAATCATAATGTAATTTTCCAGCCTCAACAAGCTTTTCAGTTTTCTGAACAGAGTAGAAATCTATCCTATATTTGAAACAACCAGTGACAGATTTAAGCAGAGCAATAGCTTATTTATCTGGTGAGTGCATTTTCTAGATACCACTTTTCTGTCTACAAGCTTAAATGTGAACACACAGTGTTTTTCTAACCATTAAAAAAATTAAGATCAGAGCTGTATTCATCATTCAATGTGACCATTTTTGTTTTAAAATGTTGGTTAAGGTGTGCTGACACTCATCTAGGCAATGTGCAGATACTCACAGAGATGAATTCAAATGAGATAATGCATTTTGTAAAGCACCAGATAAACTTTAAAATGTTACGTAATTTAAAGTGCTATGATTATAAAGTAAGTTAAGCACTTATGTTTACTCACAACTATAGCAAACCTTGGTGACTTAAAGGAAATTGGCTCTAACTGTTCTGTAAATCAGGAAATCTTGTAGGTATCATGACCTGAATAGAGAAAAGGAGAAATTGCTGAGCTTGCGTGATTATATTCTTCTTTGTTTCATTGATTTTTTTCCCTTTTTAAAGAAAATGCTGCTTTTTTTTTTTTTTATGAGACAGAGTCTCACTTATTAACCTTCAGTAGAGTGCTATGGCGTCACAGCTCACAGCGATCTCCAACTCCTTAGGCTTAGGCAATTCTCTTACCTCTGGCTCCTGAGTAGCTGGGACTACAGGCCCCTGCCACAATATCCAGCTATTTTTTTGTTGTGCTTTGGCTGGGGCTGGGTTTGAACCCGCCACCCTCGGTATATGGGGCCAGCCCCCTACTCACTGAGCTACAGACGCTGCCCCAGAAAATGTTACTTTTAATATATTCATGTGTTCATCTATTTTCCTAGTGTGCATGTTTTAAGTACTTACTACTTTCCTGGTACTATGGCTCAAAAAAAGGCTGAGATTTGATCATATAACTTTTGGGGATGTCTAAACAAATGATAATGGGGATTTTGTTTTAGAAAGCTGAGTAGCACTGTTTTCTTCATTATTTAAGTTTTCTGTACTCATAAATAGTTTCTCATGCTATCACCTTGTTCCCCATAACCTCCAGGCCTTTTGAACTTGGTCCTCCAACACCCATCAAAATGTGCATCATCAGTGTATGACCTCACAGTGGTATAGCAGTACAGTGTTTTTATCTTACTAGATTAATCCTTACTTAGGATTTGGAGGAGATTAATTTATAGTGTTTACATTAATATTGAGAGTAATGTAGGACTTACCTTTGATCTTCTAAATCTAAAGTAAATACAGT